CCCCAAAACCCCAAAACCCCAAGAGAGAGAAATTTAATCATTATTGAAGTTAGAATAATCAAATTTATATTATGTTTAATAAGATGGAGAAAACAAAAAAGTCATAATTTAATCAACTAGGGTTAAATCAACTAGGAGATGTTTTACAATTTCTGGAGCTTCCTGAAATTATGAGATTCTAAATTACTTGCTAAGAATTCTATTATAAAGTCAAGAACAAGAATATAATTTGGCTTTCTATACTACGAGGCTGGATGAAAGACGGAAAAAATTAAGGAACTATTCGACAGGATTATTACATTCCCAATATAATCAAGTTAAACTCTTGGCAGTTCAATAAAATGTGCTAGCATCAAGGTTTAGTCTAACAAACTTTAATGAACATTAATTGCTAAATCAGGTAATGCTCTAGTTCTGATAAACATCTCATGATTGAGGGAATAGAATCTTCCACTTAGGATTATGATCAGTCAATCTACAAAACTGTTTAAAGACTATAATAAGACTATTATTGGAGTTCCACAGGCTCAGGAAATGAATAAGATTAAGAGTTTTTAATTTACAAGCTTGCCAGTAGAAATCATCCTGAACGTGCTTTGATAACTTCTATTGTAATGTCAGCTTTTCAGGCAACCTTTCAAGTTAATGATCCAATATATTCTCCTAAATAGATCCAATTTGAAATCGGAAATGAATTGGAAAAATATCATTATAAGAGCAGAATCTTCGAATTTAGATAGTCTACAAAGAATGAGCAAACATTCTCACTTTTACCAGATCTTGTATGTGGAGAATATATTAAGATAACATTAATCGGAAAACCTCAAATGCAAAGAACGGATAGGAAAAGATACATTGCTATTCGATATGTTGGATTAAAAGGACAGAATTTAATAAATATTTAGGATCCTGATACAAAAGATCTATTAAGTAGTGAAGATTAAAATATCAATGAAAGTGAATCTGATCAGAATGAAGAATCAAAATCCTGTGAAAATCTCATTAAACTCCCAGAGCAACAAGTAAATGAGTTTCTGATAGAATTAAATATAATCGAAAGAAAATAGACTTAAAATGAGATTTACTCTTATCTTTATAAGCATAGAATGTTGATTTTCCACAATTTTGATCATATTCAAAAAGATAATACCTTATCAAGATTTTCTATGGAAAAATTAGTTTAATTCTGTTAAGTTTAATACGGAGTAATAGATTATTATGTGACAATGATTGTCATCAAAATGCTGGATTACATGAATTGTAATAAAATGGATATTAATAATTTCCTATAAGCATTCCAAGTAAGAGGAAGATTTTATTTGGCTAATTACAATTTTAGACATTTATAGGAAGAAACAGAAAGATAACTTAATTTTCTTAGTTCTGAAGATAAAGCTTTGTATATTAAAATCTTCAAACTTTCTCATGCATGTTTTGAATTAAATATTGATTAGGCTCATATTTACAATTACTCAGCTTAAAAAGGTTATGATTTATTCTATAACACCTGTATTACTATTATTGCTAGTTCCTCGGATGAGCCTCTAGACATGCAAAGATTAGTAAATGCGCTAGTTAAAAAATATGGAAAAAGAGAAATATTAGAAATAATGGAATAGAAATTTCAAGAATCGAGATTTTAGAATGAATATAAAAAATAGTTGAGAGAAATTATTGATCAACTTAAAAAATCGATTTCTTGAGAATTTATTTGCTTTTGATAAAATATTTATTTTTTAAAATATTTAATTAGTCAAAATTACTAGCAAAAATGGGGTTTTGGGGTTTTGGGGTTAT